TGCATTGTTTCTTTTAACTCGTCCTGGTCTTTGCTTGTAACATCTTTTAATTCATCAAGTTTGTCTTTCATCCATTGGAAATATTCAGTCACTCCTCTTTTAAGTTCTGTGTCAGAATTTTCCATGAGCCCTTCTGCTTTCAGGGTATCGGTTGCTCTTGTGTCATCTTTTGTTAAGAGACAAATATGTTACTTCATACTTTTCTTCTTAAGGGTATTGTAGTGCTTTTATAAATGCCAAATCATCCTAGAAAGATGTTGAAGGTATAGTCCTAATATTCCTTTGAGGGCAAACCTTGGCAGAAGATGATATAAATTAGAAGGCAACAGTAAGTTGATAATCTTTGAACTGAAGACTTCTACTGGAATGGACATGATTTTAAAATGCTATACATCCTTGTGCTTGGCTGGTAAATAAAAAGTTGTCATCCAGTGGCTTTGGAAGAGAGAAGACCTGGTTACCTGCTTCCATAAAGAATACAACCAAGAATACCCTTCAGGCCATTCTACTGTCACAACGGATCACTGTGAGTAGTCACTTGATGACATACCAGGAATGACTGTGGAGTTCAGTATGATTTTCTTAGCCACTGAATTTGACTTTGCCATGTAGGATAGGGGAGAATAAGGTGTGTTAGCCTATGGACAAGCAGATTGGCTAGTCTTGTCATAATTTGAGCAGATCCAGGAGCAGAAGCAAGGTCTTCCACCAGCAAAGAACCAGAAAATGTAACGGGTCCTTCAGGATGCCAAACTGACTAGGAGGGCCTCTGGGAGCAGCAGCCATAACAGCCATAGCTGAGAACTAGAGACCTGACATGAGATGGAACCTTGGGACTGCTGCAGCATTGGATCAGAGCTAAAAACCTTTTGCCTAAGTTTGTTGGAGGACTGGGGAGGTGGGAGCCAATATTACAGGACTAAGAATTTTGTAACATTGGCCTAAAGATGCAAGGCTCAAGGCAGAATTGCCTGCAAACACATTTCAGAAGCTGTACTAACTGTCTATATTCTACTACTAACCTGTATTAAAACCCTTTGACTTACACAACATGGTTATGTGTGGTCTGTGAGCTATCATATTGGATTTTGAACTCTGTATAGTAGTAAGATTGGTGATGAACTGAGGCACAAATGGCAATTTGTACACCAATATTTATAGCAGCGCTATTCACCATCACAAGAACATGGAAACAGCACAAATGTCTGACCACAATCAAATGAATTGGGAAATTATGCTACATTCATATGGTTGAATGTTACACAGCATGCTAGAGTAATGATTTTGAAAATTATTACCTAACTTGGGAGGGACTGGAGAGCATAAGGAATGGTATAAGACCATTATTGTAGAAATAGATAATTAGTAAAACGTGTGTGAGGATCTAAGGGGGGGGCTAGGTTTGGGGAGGCTGTAATTATAGAGTCGCACAATTTGATGGGTGGAAGGAGGGGTGGGTAAAGGAAATGGGAAAGATCCGGTGTGAAAAACAATGTACATAAACTTTGTAAGTAAATCATTATAAAAATAAAAATTTTATTAAAAGTATTAAAAACAACAGGTTGGTGATGAGATGAGCAGAAAGAGGCATAGGAGTGTGGGGGAAATACCTGACTCATGGGAAATGGTTTTGTGTTATTTATGCTATTGACAGGGACAGTTTCCCCTTTGTGAAATTAAGGTCTGATATGGCCACCCCGACGTAGCCCTTCCTGTTTTTACTATATATCATTTTTAGGTTTTTGCTATTGATATATTATCATGCAGAGAAGTGAAGCCTGAGAAATAAGATTCTTAGAGTCAAAGGATATCTGTGGTGCCACATAAGAAACATGTGAAACATTTAGTGCTTCACCACCCTGGGGTCAGAGGTAGGATAATGTTGTGTAATACTTGCTGGAGTGGCCATGGAGGCCCGAGGCCCTTGGCAATACATCACCTAGAAATAGCAAAGTCTCTGCCACCCTCTGAGGGTGTGGAGGCTGGTATTTGGCCCCGGAAGTAACTAACTCCTTAATAAAATTCTTATCTTTTTTTTTAAAAGAGGTAGTGACTTTCTTTTTTGATAACTTAACAGCAGCCCAATGTCAATATAAAAAGCAGTAAAGGGCTAATGAACAGTAGGATCATGCCACCGAATTCAATGCCTCAAAAGGGGATGAGACATGAGGTAGTCACATACCACAGCGGCTGCCCTGCCAATGCCCTGTGCTGCTGCTGTCAGGACGATGATCTTGCCATCCAGCCGGCCCATCACGCAACCTGTAGTTTAATCTAAAGGCGTCTGCATAAAAAAAAAAGTGAAAATACACATAACACAACATAGTCCAGCTGAAGCATTTCTCAGTCCACATTTCAGAAATTAGTCCGTTCTGCAGGCTGAGTAACTGTTCCTGCTATCTTTTTTTCCAAGGTATTCCACCTCATGCTTGGTAGATTTAATGTTGATGCTCGTAGTGCATACAGAACTCTGGAGGCCTAGTGGTAAGAAGTTGCTCTGGCAAGTCTGAAATACAAGGTTCAAACCCACCAGCCGCAGGTTCTGTGGGAGAAAAATGGGCAATTTCCTACCGAGCAATTAACTGCCTCTGAAAATCTATGGGTCGTTTCCGACTTGACAACTCACAGCGACAACGAGTTTGTGTTTTTTCTGGGGGCACTAACATCTAGAGAGTGCTTCTCAGTATTTTGTATAAAATGCCTCATCATCTGAACTCTGCTAGAACACTTCCTCTACAGCTCTGGTGGCCTACCAGCTGGTGAGATCTGCAGCCAACTCAAAGACTGTCTCTTTGGAGGTTCGAATCCACCATCTGCTTACTGGGAAAAAGATGAGCAGTCTCCTCCTGTGCCATTTACAGTCTCCCTAAAATCCACTGGAGGGTCAGCTATGAGCTGGTTGGACTGGATGGCAGTGAGCTGAGATACTTATCTTTATATTTAAAAAACATTCAGCACAATCCACTGAGGTGATAACCAGAGACTCTACCCAAATCACCTTTTGATTCCTTCTGCAACTAGTGACAGAGTCAGGGTCACTGTGGCTCCAAGGGTAGCCCATTTTCCCCAAGCACCCCACTTCTACATTATTGTACTGCTGTGTTCTGAACCCTCAGAACTGCTTCTATCTCTCCTGCAGAGATTTGTACTATATAAACCTCTGGTTTTCCTACTGTCCATTTAAGAGACTTCAGGGCTGCCCTCAGAATCATTAAATAAAATAAAATTGTGTTCAATCTCCTCATTTTACAGATGTGTGGAAACTTGCAGAACCAGTTAATTAACGGCAGAGCTAGAACCAAAGGGTCTCTTCCTGATGGAAACGTTCCAGCTCACGATGCTGCTGATCCTTTGAAAACCAGAGCATGCAGTAGTGACATCGTGACAGGTACACTCAGGACAGTTAAAGCAGCCTGAAGAACTGTGGTCAGGGAGCTCTGCTATTTAGTCACTGGCTGCTTGGACTGTAGGTCACAGGTAGAGGAATGACAAGTGTTGAGGCCCCTGGTGGTAATTGGTCCCATGATGTTAAATGAGGCTGTCTTCAAGGAACCAGGCTCCTTCTCTCACTCTGCTCTTCTCAATGTGTGCCCTTTGACCTCAGCTCAAGCACATAATGGCTGCTGTGTCTCTCCAGCATGACACCTGCATTCCTGGCTGGAAGAAGGGGTGAAATAAAAGTCCTTCAGGGAAAATTTGCCCTTTTACTCAAGAAGTAAGTCCTCCTCAGAAATGCCAGCCTTTATTTCACAGGCCTGTGTTACATCCTCCTCCTTCAGCCAAGGAGGCTAGGAATTTGAGGTTTTGCTTCCTGGATTTTATGAAGGAGAAGGAGTTGGACAGATGCTGAGGGAACCTACTCATATATGCAAAAATGACCTGTACAATCACTGCTGTCACATGCCTTACACTAGCTTAGCCTAGGGAGGTTCCTATAACCTTGTTCTTTTTTTTTAAAGAATATTTGTTGTCTTCAGCAAAACTTAGGTAGTAGGTTTTTCATTTTTTCCTATTGCTCAGCATGTTCCTAGCTAACCTTTACACTTTCCCCCAAACATGGCAAACTAAAGGGCCACAATTACTAGTGTAAGCAATAGACTTATGGGAAGAGTCAGATGGGCAGACATGGGTCTAAAGATCACATTGGAGAACAGCCCAGAGGAATAAGTTCAGTCAGGTGCAATTAGGGGGCGCTGCTAGTACTGAAATGATGGGGTGGGTGAGAGGACAGTTAAAGACGTGAGACATGTCCTGAAACACCATCAGGGATATATTAAAAGAGATTATATGATTAGCCTAGTGTTAAAGATGACACAAGAAGAACTGATGACTTTGAGGTGTGGTATTGGAGAAGAGTACAGAGTATCTCAGGGACTGCCAAAAAAATGAAGAGGTATGTTCAAAAGGTGCAGTCAGAGTGCTTCTTTTTTTATTATTATTATTTTTGTGTGAGTGTACCGTCAAATCAGATCTGACTGGTACAGGAGGAAATTGTCCCTCCTTCCCCGGCAGAGCATCTGCTGGATTCGAACCATTCGCCTCTGGGATTGTAGTTGCAGGTCCTTGCCACTAGGCCACCAGAACTACCGTAGAGTGCTTCTTGGATTCAAGGAGGACAAGGCTTCGTTTTTCATGCTTTGGACATGTTGCTAGGAGAGGTTATTTCTTGGAGAAGGATATGCTTGGAAGGGTAGAGGGTCAGTAAAAAAAGAAGACCCTCATCAAGATGAATTGACATGGTGACTGCAGCAAAGGGCTCAAGTGTATTAGAGATGGTGAGAATGGCACAGAATTGGACTGGATTCAGGTCTGTCGTTCATAGGGTCCCTATGAGCTGTTCTCGACTTCACGGCACCAAGCAACAACACTGTTCCACAGCTAATAGACAGTAGATTTAAATCCAAATTACAAATTAGATTTACATCCTGATTACAAGTTTAAGAGAAGACTACATGCTTCTTAATGTTCTCTTCCAGGTACCGGCAGGCCCAGCCCACTGCGCCAGAGTCTATTTGAACACTTAGAGGACTAATTAGAGCTGCCCTTTGGGTTTCCATGTCTGTAATCTTTAGGGAAGCAGATTGCCTCATATTTCTCCTGTGGAGCAACTAGTAGAATTGAACTGTCTATTTTGAGATAAACAACCAAGTATCTTTACTACTATACCACCAGGGCTCCTACATCCCAACAGACTTCTCTGCTTCTGGGATCACCAGCTGGTGCCTCAGTCTTTCAGCTACAGGAGGCCTAAATGACCAATGGACTTCAATGTGGGAGTGGTTTTGAGGATGATACAGGACAGGGCAGTTTTTCATTAGATTGTACCTAAGGCTACTACATACCTAAAGTCCCGTGTAACTACTGGATAGCACCTAACAATAACATTGGCCCAGGGCCCAGCTCAGCTGTTCCAGCCAGTGTTGAAGTGCTGCATAGTAGAGGCAGTTCCCTACTTCTGTGACGGGTGGGGCTCCTTTCTACATATGAATTTTGCTTAAACCTTCCTTAGATGGCATGCTGGTCTAGGGTGGCTCCTGTCAAGCTCTTTGTGGAGTCAGATTTGCACCTTCATGACCTGTTGTCATTCCCAAACTTATAGTTTTCTCTTCATTTTCTCTCACACAGACCCATAACCAAACCTCCCTGCTGTAGAATGATTCTGACTCAGAGTGACCATTCAAGGGTTTCCAGGCTGTAAAATTTTATGAGAGGACACTGTCCATCTTATCTCCATAGAGCAGTAGATTCAAACCACAAATGTAAGCAGCACTTCTCATGTTAACATTTCCATTTTTTTTTTAAAAGCATGTTTCCTTCTGTCTTGGAGGAACAGTATGAACCACCTCTTGATAAGAATTGGTTCCAGGGATCAGTTACAACTCACTGAAGTTCTCAGATTGTGTCTGCTTTTGTTATATAATAGAGAAGCAGAACATTTACAGTGCCTGACCTACTGGGATTCCTTTAACATTTACTGTGTATGTGTTTTGTTTTCTTACATGATAAATCTTCATTGTAAATATGGAAAGAACAGAGAGATACCATATAGACTTTACTAACAAAAGATTCAAATCTTTGCCCTCAGCGACCTGAACATATGGTCTAATTTTTTAAAACCTGTTTTGTACTATCTACTCCATGAGACACACTGTATAAGTGTTTTCCTAGGAATCTTTGACATCTGAGAAGCATTTATCCAACATTTGCAGAAATAGCAGCTTTTCAATTCACTTTTAATGCACTTTGAAAACCTTCCATGGTCTGTCTTTCTGGAACCACATTTTGGGGCTGAAGCCTCCATATTGGATAAACTACCCTCAAAAACAATGAAGGATTTCACTGGAAAAAATAAGTGCAAAACCCAACTTAGAAACTGCACAAGGCTTTCTTACTGCAATTGAAATATCAACTTTTAATTATTACACAAACCTGAGTATTTTCAAGACATGAACGTTCTCACTAATCATGAATAAAATCCAATTTAAACCCTAAAATCTTTTCATCATTAGCTACTTGGAAAAACTTGGAAATACACTTGACCTTAACAATCGCTAAGAACTCACTCTTTATCCCAATTTCAAATAATCCTGAAATATACAACAGTGAAGAACAAAGCTACCTGTAAAAACTAAACTTTCTCTCCCCCAGTTAAAAGTTTCATTCGAAAAACATCAGAAAAATCTTACTTTAAGGCAGTGACTGAAATGCTTGCTGCAGATTCCTCTGTGAACAACAAACTTGAGACCTTTGTGCAAGAGCAAGTCAGGAGTTTTGTGATGCATGCTGGGATTTGTAGTTCAAATGCTGAAGTTACTGATTGAGTTTCCTTCATTATTTAAGAAAAGGGCCACTGGATTATTCTACTTTATGCGTGTGCATACGGCCACCTAGTGGTGCCCAGGTAAAACTGCTAAACAGAAGGTATTTAGTCAAACCAAACCAGTGGCTAGAAGTGAATTCTACTCCTGGTGACCCAATGTCTTATGTAGTAGGTTTTCAGTGACTGATTTCTCATAAGTAGACAACCAGGTCTTCCTTCAAAGGCTCCACTGTGCGAATTCAAACTTCCTCAGAGCACACTAACTGTTGCATCTCTCTTAGAGTCATTAGCATATTTGAATTCCTGGAGAGACTCTTTTGATCAAGTTTTATATATACACTCTGAATTCAGGAAATATCTATCCAGTTCATTGTCTCTTGCCTTTCATTTTATAAAAGGAGTCTGATGGTGCAGTCGTAAGATTGAGCTGATCCAAAGGCCAGCAGCT